GAGGAAACCCACAAGGCACTGCACAGTGCCTTGTGAAGCCCTGATTGGGTAAAGAAATGCACCTGACCACAGGTCAGGTGCAAGACTTTACCCAATCACAGCACAGTGATGATGACTTTCCCGAATCATGGCTCATACAGCTACAGTAAGTCCTGTCAGGTGGCGGACAAATGTAAACAGTTGGGCGGAGCTAGCTGCAACCGCTAAATCCACCCAATTGTTTATATTTTGCCAGCATCTGTCAGAAAGCCATTCTGCAGCGGGCGTTCGTCGTGAGCAGACGGGTCGGCGGCCGTCGTTTAAATAAAAAAAAAAGATTATTCCTATTTATTTATTTTTTATTTCGCCGAGTCGTCGTCGTGGACAATGCTGGACGTCGTGATTGACCCCAGGATTACATCGGTGGATCCATATTTTTTAACAATAAAGGACTTTGTTGTGTTTTTATTTCAATTAACCACTTGCTCACCGGGGTATTAAACCCCCTTCATGTCCAGGCCGTTTTTCAGTATTCAGCGCTGCAGTAATTTGACTAACATTTATTCCATCATGCAACGCTGTACTGAAATTAATTTTATACCATTTTTAATTTTTTTTATTGTCTACTATATAATGAAAAAGCACCAAAAAAAAACACCTATTCTCCCTACTTTATGAAATAAAACATTTATCAGCACCCACATTGTTGGTAAAATATAAAATATGGGGTCATGTCGAGTATATAGACACCAAACATGTCAAGCTTTAAAATGTTGTGCAAGATAAAAACAATGGGAGTGGCGAGCGCACAACAGGTGTGGACAGTATGGAAAAACCTTAAATAACTTTAAAAGCACTTTAAAAACAAGTGAGCGTCCCACTACACGCACTGTGTACTTCGCCTCAACTGGTCATCCGGCCACAAGATTCACCTTCCAACATCCATGGACTGAAGAGAAGCCCCACAGCCCGGAGCTCACTCCCACACAGACCAGCCACAGATTCCGCCCTGCGAGCCGTGCTGACAATTAACGGCAAGATACCACCTCGTCCGTCCAAAAGTGAGTCTGCATCAATAGTTACACTGTATCTTTTAACTGTTAAACACCCAGTATTCCAGGGTTGTAGCGCTCCTTTCGTTTAAAATTTTGTGCGCCCTCAAAATCACAAAAAACTGCGACGCCTAAAATTATCCATAGGCGGCGCTTTAAAAGCTTTTACCGCTCATCAATTTAGTGTTATCAGTAAATGATGGCTCCAGAATTATTGCTCGCACTCCGAAGTTCACGGTGATATGTACCATGTGGCGTAATGGTTGTTTTCGCATGTAGGCGCACCCAACGCATTTTCATACACCCGACGCGTGCACGCGGGGTGGAGAACTTAAAACTTTTTTTTTTAAGTGGGACTGATTTTTTTTAAACTTTTTTTTTTCTACACTTAACTTGATTGCTATCACATAGGGGACTAACAAGCCCCTTATGTGATAGCCAATATACACTGACAGGTCCTCTTTATGGAGATATCAGGGGTCTCTAAGACCCCCAAAGAAGCTGATGAAGCAGAAATCTGCTTCACCAGCTTCTTCTCTGGCTATAGCAGCCAGAGAAATGACAGTTAAAGCCAGAAGGGATGTAATATATATTGCTTCCGACTTTAGAGAGAGAGAAGTAGGGGAGATCAGCGGTGGGGGGAATGCTGATCTCTCCTCCTCAGTACAGGCAGTCGCTGTGCTGGTCCCCCACTCGCAGGAGGGACAGCGGAGCCTAGGATAACTGGCAGCAACGGGGGAGCGTGGCAGCAGGGGGGGCTTGTATATAACAGCTGTTTAGATTTCCGGGGGGTCGGGTTTGCAACCAGGAAGTAAATCACGTAAACGTACGTCCACCCGCCGGGAAGCATCTGCTGCCCGCCTGTAATTTTACAATGGGCGGACGGCAAGGGGTTAAAGGATTTTTTTTCTTAAATTCTGGACTTTTTATTTAAATTTATTTGAACCCTTTAGTGAATGGGTACACGTACCCCTTACTCATTCACAAGGGGGGGCCACATCTTGGTGCCCCTTTATTAAATGGGTACCCTGATGTGAATAAGCCCTCTGCCCGCACCCCCACAACCAACTCCCCAGGGCCTGTGAGGAAGAGGCCCTTGTCCCCATCGACACAGGGACAAGGGCA